AACAATTTACAACTATTCCATCTCCATTCTCCTTCTCATTATGTTTTAAACAATGCTAAGGTATTTTACAACTTAATATGAGATTATCATGCTCCCTTTGAAAGCCAAAAATGACAAAAAAAGGTTAAACCGGGTTGAACTGAAACGTGGCTGACCTGCCTATGATACTCATGCTTATACAGTTGAATTAATTGAATACCTGAGCTGAACTGCTGAAGCTGGTCATTCTTCATGATCTCTGAGACGACAAGTGTGTGAATGCCACTTATGTATATGCTTTTCCGATCTTCAAACACATAAAAAGTGATATTATTATCAAATAAACAATATTCAAACTCCGTATCTGCGTTCAATAAACATTGATTTTGATAATACATTTCACAAATCAAACTGCTAATAACAATCATACTAAAATCGCACGACAGATAACTAACAATCGTATGAAGAACTTCTTGACTCGCCTCAAATTCGCCTTGACATTTGTCGTCCGAACGAATGTTGTGTGAAGTTACACATTTGTCTTTTCTGCGCAGCATTTGTGTTTGCCATTTACCGCACCAATGTTCGCCAGCGGTGGTGACTTTTCCTTACCTGCTCACGAAACGTCACACACGACATGACGTCACCCGAAGACGTCATCAAAAAGTCCAGCTCTTAGGCGTGTCCCAAATGTCAAGGCGAATTTGAGGCGAGTCAAGAAGTTCTTCATACGATTGTTAGTTATCTGTCGTGCGATTTTAGTATGATTGTTATTAGCAGTTTGATTTGTGAAATGTATTATCAAAATCAATGTTTATTGAACGCAGATTCAGTTTATTTTCAGATGTACCTAGGTACCCTTACACTTCACTCATCTCAAGCTGTTCAAACACCCTTGACAAAGTCGATTAAGATGAAACGTTGGGTATAATTTGTACTGTGTTTTCTCTGCATTATTAACATTCATCATATATACAATATAATGGCCATATGCTTTTTACAGGGAGACATGTCAGACAGCCCAGTAGGATGAGGCTTCGTCAAGCGTCATTTTTAGCAAAGCTTTTCTTGCTTAAAATCCAGTCTGCAAAACATGGCAGGGCTTACACTTTGGCTTACACTTGACTCCCAGCTGTTGTGTCTTTGCTATGCGATGTTAAACATATAAAACATCTTACTATTCATGTATGCGCCATGACTCATGTAATCTTTTCACAGCCAAGACGCTCCTAAGGTACTGGGAATGTGGGGAGTGCAGCAGTATCAGTGCAGCACCGATGGTCGAATGCGACGGCTGCGATAAATGGTACCACTTCCGTGGTGTGGGACTGACTAAGGAGCCAGGTAAGCGCAAATGTTTTCTGTCTCAGTATTTTTGTTGCAGCTATAGTGATCAATGAAATATTTTCCGCACTGTTCAGCCAAACATGTATTTCAAACAATCTGCTTCCCAGCCAAGGGCGTCGCCACGGGGGGGGGGGGGGGACGGAGGGGATCTCGTCCCCTCCACTTTTTAAAATTTTAACATTACGCCTATGGCGTTGCATGGAAAGAATCGACTTGAAATGGTCCCCGTCCCCTCCAAAATGGTCAATGTCCCCTCCAGTCGTCGCACCGTGGCGTCGCCCCTGTTCCCAACTACACAAATTTAGTCAAACAATGTGCCAATGTGGAATTTTCAGGTTCAGTTGAATGAAATAGGAACAATGATAATTGTAGATTACGTATACCTGCAAGAGAGGAAAACAGAATACATTGTATTGCTTGTCCTTCACCGATACTGTTATTTTTCCATTTCTAGAAACACCGACATGGCGATGCAGGTGGTACTGCCTGGTGAGGCCGCGGTCTCTGGAATCGCCTGCAGACGAAGTCACCTGGCGTCCATCTGCACATCACTTGCAGCAGTGAGGCCTGCTGACAGCGTCTGGCAGTGTCGGCAACGTGCCAGACAGCTATCTGGAGTCCTGCTCACCGCAGGTCGCCGACAGGAGGGGCGACGCATCGTCTCCGAGGTCGCCTCAGCAGCAGTGAGACCCCACTGGCCGTCTTCTTAGGCTTCAACTAGATTGCGAACAACCTATGCTGAGACAACGCCCATGACGTGTGATCCGGTACCGCTACCGCACTGCGTGCCTGTGCCCGCCGTGAGCCGCTAGTGCATGGGTTCGACCATGAGAATATGTGTTTATGTTGCTTTTCCTATTGTTTATACGTTGAAGTGACGAATTATTTATTTTTCGCAAGCCTCCGCTGTCCGGTTGCCTGCAGCTCCATGCAACGCCAGCTGTACTGTTGTTTTAATGTTGTCTCTCCGCTCAGCTGTACTGTTGCCTCTCCGCTCATAACAACCTATGCTGAGACAACGCCCATGACGTGTGATCCGGTACCGCTACCGCACTGCGTGCCTGTGCCCGCCGTGAGCCGCTAGTGCATGGGTTCGACCATGAGAATATGTGTTTATGTTGCTTTTACTATTGTTTATACGTTGAAGTGACGAATTGTTTATTTTTCGCAAGCCTCCGCTGTCCGGTTGCCTGCAGCTCCATGCAACGCCAGCTGTACTGTTGTTTTGATGTTGTCTCTCCGCTCAACTGTACTGTTGCCTCTCCGCTCATAACAACCTATGCTGAGACAACGCCCATGACGTGTGATCCGGTACCGCTACCGCACTGCGTGCCTGTGCCCGCCGTGAGCCGCTAGTGCATGGGTTCGACCATTAGAATATGTGTTTATGTTGCTTTTTATACTATTGTTTATACGCTGAAGTGACGAATTGTTTATTTTTCGCAAGCCTCCGCTGTCCGGTTGCCTGCAGCTCCATGCAACGCCAGCCGTACTGTTGTTTTAATGTTGTCTCTCCGCTCAGCTGTACTGTTGCCTCTCCGCTCATATATGACACGCTCTATATGAATGGCACTACTGATTGTCACACCCACTGTCCGTATTGTCCGTAGTGGTGTCTACGCCCATGTTAATACAGCGTGCAGAATCCAGATTCTATTGAGGAGAGTTGAGCCAAGTCACCATAGGCTCGGGAAGAGAGCAACGTGGAGGCCCACTGCCCCTTCCCCGGCCCCCACTGGGGGCGCCAGCCACTCCAACTTTTGACTGGATGTCAAGAGCGTCGCCACGAGGGGAACGAGTCGCCGGCCAGCCAAGGTAGCCAACGGCGTATGAAGGTTGCCTGACCTCGAGGAAACTGAGATGGCACCAACGGAGGTTTTGTTAAGTAGGCGACCAAAATTCGAGCGGCAGCAACCTGGGCACCTTCACAGATAGCAGTGCCGCGTATCAGGGCGCCTTCGACGTTGAGCTGGGCGCCGATCATCGGGACGCCGGGGGAATATGACACAATATCCCCCGTAAATATGTGCCTCGGAAGGGAGACCCAACCATAAAACTGAAAGCTCGCCGTATTTTATCCACTATTTTTCGAGCAGGTCCATAGATTTCCGTCCTCAAAAGTGCGAGGATATTCCCCAGTGTTTGAGTTGGATGGGACTATAGTGGCGTTTACACAGACAGATTCCCATTGCCGGCTGTGGGAAACTACTGTCGGTGTAAACGCCATTCATATTTCCTGCGTCACCCCTGTGGGGACGCCCTTACTCCATGGTGCCGAGCTTATCAATTTGGATATCAATGGAATCAAAATCTCTTATCGATCGATGAAGAACTAAATTACCCCGACCCGGAGAACGTCTTTGGAATCAAAGCAGTAGCACATGACGCAAGACTTCAGGCAAATAAATCCTTCTTGTCTGAAATAAAACATTTGTGTATTGATAAGCACGTTTTATAGGCAATGGTAGCAAGATTCTCCATGTATTTGGTAAAAGTGATAATTTAGTAGCAGATACTTACCGTCGCATTTCGTTTTTTTTAATTAATAATTTATATTGTCAGAACTAGCAACATGTCTCTTCACTCAACAATAATTACAAAAGTGAAAAAGAAATGATAAATTTCTTATATTTTGGTGAAACTAAAAATTAATTCAGCACACATTTTTTTACAGCGTTGAAGTCCAGCTCCAAAGGACAGCTGACGATCAGAGCCGAGCAGGCTGTTTGGTACTTCTTCACTACTTCTTAGAAGTACCCGTTGGTACCGATCATGTCTCACATAATAAGCTATTGGAACAAAAACATCCATGTTTTTCTAATTACTCTCCTTTCACACTTTAAATAAATACTTTTGAAATGCATTTACTAATTAATTTTACAAAAACGGCTTATAATTTTACAACGTCAAAATACTTATTCCAATTTCCACCATCAAACCACCACTATATTACTTGCTTACAGAACCGTGCGCACAGTGCGCGCAGTTTTATGGTGACGTCAGAGGGTGCTTCCTCAGTGGCGCCCCCTGGCGGGGAACGCGTGCAAAAAGTCCAGCTCTTAGGCATGTCCGACATTTGTCGTCCGAACGAATGTTGTGTGAAGTTACACATTTGTCTTTTCTGCGCAGCATTTGTGTTTGCCATTTACCGCACCAATGTTCGCCAGCGGTGGTGACTTTTCCTTACCTGCTCACGAAACGTCACACACGACATGACGTCACCCGAAGACGTCATCAAAAAGTCCAGCTCTTAGGCGTGTCCTATAACAATACACGCAACGGCTGGAAAACACTGCGCCGGTGCGCCAGAATTGACAGCATCGCCTGAATCTCAGCGACCAATCAGCTTTCGACCATCCCAGTGACGTCACATTGGCAGCATTTGGTAGCAATTTTCCTCCTATGGCCCGGTAAAGGGACAGACCCCCCCTGCATCCCATTGCCTTGCCACAGCCCTATACCACAGCCCGAACATCAATTTGAATTTAATGAATTTAACGGTAAGTTTCACTGTCATTTATGTGTAACGAAACTATTTCATACATATTTTTCGAAATTTAAAACAATTTGACGTAAATTCATGGACCTATTCATCCATGCCATTACAATTATAGAGTTCAGTGCAAGTGGCCGTTACACAGCGGTGGACGTTCGGGGAAGGTAAAAATAGAGAGCACGCATCTTGAGACCGTAGCACAAATTGTAGCATATTATATTATTTCAGATTATTGTGGGAGTCAATTCTTGTAGGTTCGGTGCCTTAGCCAGCACTGTGCAGCCATGTAGCTTTTCTCAAGGCCCTATATATACTGATGCCGCCTTGCTGCAGCCCAAAGCCCCAGCAGGCTGCATTTGTCCTATTATTATTCATCTATGTAAATACTCTTCGTGCCAGTAATAAGGTCAATAATGTCAATGCTGTTGGGTATAGCAAGGCGGCTATGGCATATAGTCCTAAGGTCAGTCGGGCAAACTGCAGGGAGGTTATCTAAAGAAAGACTAATCTAATAAAAGATTATGATGTCATGAAAATGGGCTGAGCGATAACCATAAAAGGAGTGATAATATATGTTGTCATTTTTCCAGAGTGTAAGAATATTTATGCACGAGACTTTGGATTTAAGACCACATGGGGAGTTCATTTATAAACAAGTGCTTAAATAATCATTTAAGCACGAGTGGTCTTAAATTGCAAAGTTGAGTGCGTAAATATTCTTGCACGACGGAAAAGTGATGTTAAGTGTATTTAAAACAATTTTATGTCGTGACTTATTATCACGAATGTGCAATACTGCCCATTTCTGTATAGTATTGTGTGTAAAGAGGGTTATTTGTGAGGTAAAGAAAAAAGTTGGGACTTGATTATTGGGGAAGAGGAAAGAGCACATGATCATAAATAATAACCCAACTGCAGCCAGAAATATATATTTATAAACATGAGTCGTTTGTTCGGCTCCTTGCATTAATTCACACTTGCTCTCTTCGTTCAGCTGCAAGTCCTGATGTCTTCTTGATCGGGTTGAAATTCCAATTTCAGAAACTTTAGATAATACACTACGGTTTTAAAGATTATTAGGATTTTTCACCACATGTTTTCATCTATAACCAAGTGAATGCTGCTGCCAAGGCTGCTGCAAGGGCCTGCAAGGGCTGCTACGGCTTGGCTGTGGCGACGACGGCGACGTTTTGCAAAAATGTCAGTTTGTTTTGTCTGCGAGCAGTTTGCACGTGATTTATGCACAGCAACCTCATATTTAAAACACAAAATTAACATGGCGTTTTCCGGGAAATTGTTAATGTTTTAAATCAATATTTACATTATATTTCCGACATATACACATTCAAACCCTCCATATCGGTCGAAGAAATGCTCATATCGGTGATATTTTTTGCCATTTACTTTTGGTGCAATCCCAAGTAAGAAGCAAATTACATGATATCCTTTGGTCTCCTGATTTCATAGCTGATAGTTATTCAATGCACATTAAACAAGTTAAAAAGCACTAATACACTATGGAAAGTAATATCAAATTGTTGTGGCGAAGCAGTGCAGTGCCGAAGGCAATACCTTGGGAGAGATTACAGGCAATGGTAACTGGTAAGTCAAATATCATTGGTCGAATGCACATGAGTGATGAGCCTGAAGAAATATGACCCAAAAATATCAAACAATTATCATTTTACAGCGATTTTGCCAAACATCCCCACTTTAGTTATGTATGCAACGTCGTGGGAGACATAACAGAATACAGGCAATGGTAAATCAAATAGTTGAGTTTAAATGGTGGTGTAGGGCCGAAAGGCTGGCTTATTTATGTATTACGAGCGAGCAAGCGCAGCGAGCGAAGCGAAGTCTTCAATATAACGGAAAAATCTCAGTATGAGCGGCCCGGCCCGGCCTGTAACGCTTTTGAGAGGCTTATATCTCAGCAACCGCTGGACCGAATGGCCTGCGGTCTTTTTTGCTGGGTAGCCCCATCCCTTCTACCCCGTAATTGACTTCTTTTAACACATCTCAGTGACCGTCGTGGCACGTGCCACGTGAAAAGTCAAGGGTGTTCAAGCTGTTTTGCAAATATAGTGATTTTTAGAGGCGCATATCTCAGCAGCCGCTTGGGCGATTGTCTTTTACGGTAATTTTTGTAGGGTAGATGCATCCCTTCCACCAAAGGTCGGATACTCTTGATCTACGTGAGTGACCCCCACTGCACGTGCAATACAAAAAGAGGTGCCATTTTTTTCCCATTTCAATAACTCGGTAATTACTGTGGCGATTTCGCTGAAACTTGGCATACAGGTAGGCACCCACCAGGCAATGCATTCCCATGTGTTGCGGTTAGGGTGCTACTGCACGTGCGCACGTGCAGGGCTCGCTTGCAGATCACGAGAACGGCTGGGCCGATTGCGCTCAAATTTGGTACACGGTAGGGGACTGGTTAGTAGGGTGCCGTGCAAAAGTCAGTTTGGACCCCGTTTGCACGTGTGCACGTGGAGAATGCCGCTTCCAGATCTAAGAAACGGCTAGGCCGATTGCGTTCAAATTTGGCACACCGCTAGCGACCGGTTAGAAGGGTGCTTTGCACAAGCCCGTTGAAAGTACCCTCTTGCCCTTCCGCACGTGCAGGACTCACTATCTCGCTCGCTCGTTCTTCGTCCAAAAGGCGTTTTACTGGTTTATTTATTTATTTATTTGGGCTCAAGGATAACAGGCTGAGGCATACATGGGCCCTTTCAAGTGTCCAAGCACTGAAAATGTGTCAAATGTGACACACAAACACATTGACAGGAGCAATGCAACTACGATACAATTTTAATATGCTTTTATATATGTTGACACATTGGCCCTAAGTGCCCTTAACCCGCGCCCCGTAGGGCTAACGGCGGACCCTACCACCCGTAGGGGGGGGGCGTTTCGGCCCCCCCTAAGATCTCGGAAATTTACCGGCCGATTTTCAAAATTCAAAAGGCGTTCGATAGCCCCACCCGGGAATTACCTTGTGACTAAATTTCATTGACCGAGGTCAAACAGGTGACGTCACAGGTCAGGTCAAAGGTCGGATTTTCACCGTTCACAGGCATTCCAAGAAATGTGTTGTGAAATCGAGTAAATTGGTAAGTTATTGAAAACCATCGATGGTACATTGTTCGTCAAACACATACTTCGCTATCTGAGGTCACTGATACCAGGTCAGGTCACAGAGGTCAGGTCCCTGGCCCCTAGGGGTCACAATATGAAAGTGTCGTGTGATGCGTGTTTTATGGTCCATTTTACATGACAAATGCGATTATGTGGGTCAGGCAGCCTTAACGGCCAGCTTTTGTCACGTTTTGGTGAAGGTCAGGTCAAGGTCAGGTCATATTAGGTCAAATTTCAAAGTTGATATTTTTGCATAAAATGGGTAACGATTCGATGCAGCTCGTCACGGGGAGTCTAATGTTGGTCTTTGTTTTGCTCTACGATGTCTAGAACTGTCAAAAATTGAGTTTGAAAATTTGACGTCATCATTTTGAACAGTTTTTTCGCTATAACTTGGCCAAAAAACGAGATATCGATCTGAAATTTGGTATGTAGATAGAAGACTGTAGGAACTATTACATATATTCCGTTTTTTCGAAACTCAAAAACTTTTTGGATTTTTTTGGCTAATATATCCAAAAATTTTGGCATTTTTGATTTTTGGGGGTCAAAACTCAAAAATTTCACAAATCTGAGATAGCGGTTTTGTAGCCCTGTCCATTCTATGTACACCTTTTTTGTCTTGATCATTTTTCTGTATCTTCAAAGCTGTAGGCCTGACAGCTCTTCTCGCGAAGGTCTTTTTTCGGTCGAAAATGGCAGAATTTGACGTCATTCTGACGTCATTTGTGGCCAACCTATCATAGTCTCTGGCAAAATTTTTGGTCACAATTTGTAAAATTGATGCCCGGAGGGGTCCTGAAAGTTTGGTGGCGATATCTCCAGCCGTTCAGAAGATATCGACGGAAAAGGACAGGGGGGGGCCGTCTCGCCCCCCCCCCCCCTACGGGGCGCGGGTTTAAGAATCATGGAATACGTCAGCATCAGTACACTGAAACAAAAACTTATTAACAAACGATGGTGCTCTAACAAAAAGTTTCGTTTGTACTGCGTCTACTCTCGCAAATGGAACATTAAAGGGACTATCCCACCTTTAACATGGGGTTTGAGTTGAGATAGCCAAGTTTGCGGCGAGGTTCAGAAACCACTATCTATCTAGGTTGCAACCCCCGCGGCCTCTTGGTGTTGAAGAAATTCGTTCCCTTCATTTGAAAATGGGCCTTGCACATTTAGCACAAGGCCCTATCTTCAACATGGAGCGACCGTTAGTGTGACGTCACCTCGTTTAGTCATTCTGATTTAAATGGGTTTGTTCGTTGAAAAATCGCTTTAAACTTGGTCTGAACTTTGTTGTGGTGCCTAAACAGTAAAAAGAATCAGCTTTATGACAGTAATGTGGCCTGGGGAAGGAGGTACTTTTGGGCTGTGACGTCACATATTTGAAAGTTTGTGTTTGGAATATGGGAAGCCTAAGATGTTTAATGAAAAATAAATGCCAGAACCGTGTTCCTGGTCATCCAATCTATAAAGTCGGGCACAATTTAACTGGTTTTAACAACATTTTAGAAGGTGGGATAGTCCCTTTAAGACACCACGTGTTTCTCGTTGCCCTTGGTGCGATAAATACCTAGAGGGAAATGGGCTAAAGGGCTGCACAATCGGTATGATTTCTATACAATTTTGCAACAAACATAATGTCATATCGTCTACGCCTATTCTCTAGACATGCAACGCCAAATAATCGCAGTAAGTCACTGTAATTGATAGCTGTTGATGAGTCTTGACATCGAGTATAACAATATAGCCAAATAATGTTTGGTAAAGGGTAATGGGAATGGTCGATTAGGTTCAACTGTTCAACTATTAAAATTTAACATTAAGTGGCAAATTCAGGTTTTGGTGATATCACACTATAGGGGAGAATGGGGCAGATTCCGTCATGAGACACATCCTGTCAGCTGGGTTTTCTCGAGAACTATCGAGCGCAGGTATGCTTTTGTATTTTGAGATGTTTGTTTTTGCTTGCCAAGGTTCAATACTATCAATACAACACCGTACCTACCTGTATTCATATTTGACAAAATGTGAAAAGTTGATTTTGCAACGCAAATCTGAACTTTTTGACTAGAAGAAGACGCTAGTTCATGACTATTCGGATAGCGTGATGGTGACTGAATACTGTTTCGGGCAGTCATGAGTGTCAGTATTATGCCAAAGATAATTTTGTCCATAAAGTCAAAAAAAGCAAAACATTTTGATTTTCATCGAGTGGGGCCCATTATGTCACTCGATCCGGGGCAGATTCTGTCCCTGGCAGAATCTGCATGCCGCCGTATCGCCCGCTCCGCAGCAGAGCTGGATCACGGATGGCCACCCCTCGCCGCCCCGCCAGGGCTAGCCTGTCTCCCAGGGGCCACGAACTCAGTGAGTGCGCGCTGCTCGTCACGCGGTGTGGGACGTGCAGGTGCGCGCTGCTCGTCACGCGGTGTGGGACGTGCAGGTGCGCGCTGCTCGTCACGCGGTGTGGGACGTGCAGGTGCGCGATGCCGGTTGAGGTTGCACTGGCATTGCAGTGCTGATTTTATATGCCAATTGGATACGACAGGACCCCCTCCCCCCAGCCCCACTCACACCCAAACAGTATGTCATCAGAATTACCATTTTAGACAGAGCATTGCTTTAGTGGACTTGTGCACTCGCAATAACACCTAAAAATACGTATCAACATAGGAAATTTGCAATAGTGGCAGATGAGCATTGAAAAGCACAAGTGCATTCATGAATTGGTTCGAAAATTCGCAAGAGGGTTCACACTTCACCCAACCCTCTCCCCCTGGAGGTGTCTAGAAATAGGCATTCCTGGCGAGTGATAGAAGACGTGAGAAAATTCGGTGTCAGGATCAATTGATATGGCTGTCGGTTTCTAGACATTGTAATTTGTAATGGACGAGGATGAGTGGAACACACTGAAATGAAGCATTCCAGAGACAGTGGATGGTGCGAGATGATAAAACGATGTGCCTCATTGCTGACAGACTGTGCCCCGTATATGGGGTACTTTCTGTCAGATGACGCATCGACAGATAACCGACTCTAGCGTCGAAACCACTTGAGGTATAACCGGAACACCAGCGGCGCATTTGAAGCTCTTGCTGTAGGGAATATGCCAGGGAAGCATCAAACTGCACCTGTTGAAAGTGTGCGCTCGATAGCCATTTTGTAAAAAGTGACAGATGTGCCCCAGTCTCTCCTACGTAAAGGGGGTAATTTAATGTCCCCCCACCCCTCCCCTAGCGGCTCGTGGGTTATAGCTTACCTATAGCAGCCGGGGTGGTTCAGTTTAGGACTGACTCATTGTTGATGCTATCAGGCCGATCCGATGACAGCTTGGACTATATATGAACAATTTTAACATGTTTGGGGTAGCAAGTACTGTGTCATAGCTTTTGAACTATTTTTGTTTTTGGCGAAACAATGATGGCTACGACGCAGTGAGAAAAGTCTTGTACACCACTGTTTCCAGAGTCGGTGAGAGGGTCAGCAGCGAGCGTTTTCGAGTGGCGGCGCTGCAGTGAGCAGTCGTCCTCTCCTGGCAGCACCGGCCAGCCTGACACTGGTCACTGCCATGACTGCTGACCGCCGGCCGCACTCCCCCAGCCGCAGTCTCTCATGGAGTGCCGAAACTGAAATTCATCTGTTTGATGCTATGACTGGCTATAAACCGGTTGGTAAGTGACGAATCTTACGCTAGCATTTCTGGTAGGTACAACTATTGTTACATTGACCAGCTGTTTTTTCATGTAATCGATTAAAAGTTCCTTTGTGCAGTCCACTGTACCTTCAGCTTAACAACCCGCGCCCCGCGGGGGGTCCTGGATTTCCACGCCCTGCTGGGGGGGGGGGTGTTTGAACACCCCCCTTCTAACTTGGCTCCTGGGCCAAGTAGCGATACGCGGAAGGCGGTGTTCGAAAGAGCGCCAAAACTAATGACGAAATCACTTCGGTCACTTTTTTGGTCAGGTCAAAGGTCAGGTCACTAAAGGTCATTGAAGGCAAAATTTCGTCCATTTTCAGGTCAAATGTCGACAAATTCCAAGAAGCCAACGCATAACTCGGGAACCAATAGAGCTACAGCGCCGCGGAAAAGCGCATTCGATAGCCTTATTAACGCCATTTCTGACTAATCCTCACAGATTTGACCTAGCGCCAACGGTTTTGCCTGCAGGGGGCAAAACCTGCCAAAATAGACGTTTTTTTAAAACAGTTTTTCTGCAATAACTGTTGACTCAAGCATTGCACGAGCTTACTTGTACCGGCGTCGTTTTCCTCTCGTCAAGGCGCATCGAATGAACTATTACTTGACCTTGAACGGTCAACTTGAAAATTTGACCTCGGGTCAAGGTCATGACCTGACCGGAAAAGGGTCATGTTGCGTATCAGTCGGTCCGTATCGTCGAGCTGAACACATCAAAGGCATTTTCATCGCTTTAGCATGCCCCTATCAAAAGTTATTCGTGAAAAACTGTTAGATACCATTCGTGACCTGAGATGACCTCAGGGGCATAAACAGGGGTCACGGATACCATTTTCATGTTCAGTGTGCCTTACTGTGGACGTCAAACCGCGTGGGACGCGACTTTTTCGCAATAACTTTTGAATACGTTGCCTCTCAAGAACGAAACTTCGGCAATGGACATTTCAGACCCCGGCCTAATTTTTTATTATTAAGGTTTTTAATGTCAAATAAATATTTAGGGTACTTCCCGTTCACTCGTAATGCTAAGTGAAATATCAGCCCGGATGGCGGCTATCGTCAGGCTGCTCGCGAAGCCCCGCCTACTAACTACGAATTCCCTGCCATCTACCGTTCAGACACGACTGCCATCTGTCGATCGATCCTCACTCAGAACCGGTTCTGCATGCTGTGTGCGTCGGGTCTCAGATGGGCGGACATCTCGAAACCGAGATTGTTCAGTATGGCCTTTTACCAGGTTTTTTAATCCGAGAAAAAAACCGAGATTGTTCAACATGGCCCTTTACCAAATTAACTATACGAATTATTGACTTAGCAGCAGGGATGCAGAGCCTTGAACATTTGAGTTAGCTCCAGCTCCGGCTCCGGCTCCGAGTAAAATGGCAATACGGCTCCGGCTCCGGCTCCCACTCAGGGCAAAATATGACGGCTCCGGCGGATCCGGCTCCCCTCCGGCTATGCGTACCGGTGCATTACGGAAACATTTAAGTTGGGGCATATTGGGGCTTGGCAGGATAACACGAAGTGTACTAACCTTCCTGGCGGTTTGATATCTACAAGATCCTAAAATTAGAATTTTAATTAAGAAAATTAACTTGACTGTGTAAATATATTATATTATTATGTATCTCATTTACGTAATTACGTTGACAAACTTATTAAATAATCATTTAATTATTTTCTGTTATTCTTAAATCATCGTAATATTTGGCGTACGCGTATAGTCTTCCTATCTGGGTGACATTCTTAGCGAGTCGAAGAAAATATTTCATTGATGGAAGTGCGAACAGTCAACACTCGGTCCATTCTAAAGAGAATACTCTATGTAGGTAGATATTTGAGCCATCATTCGCCATGCACGTTATGTCCACAAACACCATCTGAGCATTCATACCCTGTACCAAAACAAGTAGCATGTTTCAAAGAGTATATTTAGTCTACGTCATCATCAGACTCCTGATCAAACGAAAAGTCGTCGTCGTCGTCGTCGTCAGCGGTGATGATGATGCGGTCGATGCTCTCCTGAATGTTGTCCGTGGTCCAGTAGCCGTCTTCGAAGCTCCTGGACCGACGGACTGCTCCGGCCCACACCTCACTACATAGTGACGAGAAGACGAGCCTCTTCTAGCCTGTCCTGGAGGTCGGCTCGGGTGAATCTCCGTAGAGACGACCGTACGTGGCGCTTCATGCACCCCCAGACCTGCTCTATCGCGTTCAGCTCGGGGTGTCCCGGAGGAAGACGGACCACCTCGTGCCCCCACTCGCGGATGATGTTGTCGACGACGAACTGAGGCTCTGGCTTGTTTTGTTGGCATAGCAGCAGCAGCTCAGGTCTGGTGGCGCCGGGCGGTACCGGGATGTCGCGCTGGGTCAGCCAGTTGATGAGGTCGGCCTTCCTGGTGGCGCTCGTCGGACAGCGGCTCTCCTCGGTCAGCACGCTGTGGTAGGGAGCGTTATCCAGCACCAGCGCTGACGGCCGACTCAGCGACGGCAGCAGGTGTGACGTCAGCCATCGAATGAACAGCTCACTGTTCATCTCCCCATGGTAGTCACCACTCCTGTTCTTGGAGACGAAGCTGAGGAACGAGCCGTCGATCGTCCCCTCCTCGGATCCGGCCGCCACCACGATGAAGCGCTCACCGTCTCCCGGTGGGACCTGGCGGCTGTACGTCGCACTGGTGGCAGCCTGGGTGTTGTCCACCCACTCCCGACTGTGGCACATCCTTGTGGTAAACCACGTTTCATCAACGTACACGATTTGATGCCCGTTTTCTCTATGTTGCTTCAGTTTGCGCAGAGCTTGAATGCGGCGGCAGACGATGTCCAACGTCTCCTTTCTGACATACATCTTTCGTTGCGTTGATCGGTAGCGGAACCCCATCCGATGCAGGATTCTACGCAGCGTGCTCTCTGAGGTACCTGGTCGCAGGATCCCATCGGCAGTCAGCCCATCCAGTAGACGCTCGACTGTCAGGAACTCCTTGTTGGCGAAACGTGCGTACACGTGACGTCGGATCGCGCCGATGGTGAAGTTGTCGATGGTGGTCGCTGGTGTCGGCTGCTGTGCTGCTGCGCCAGATGTTCGCTGACGCTTGACGAGCGTCCTCACACCGCTCTCCGTCATGCCCAGAATCTCCGCCGCTCGCGCATAAGGCCTGCAAAAAATCGTCACGAATCAATTGCAGGTAATAAAATGATGCAGCACCGGGAACGGGAAATGGCAAAAACAGTCACACAAAATACATTATGTTTAGGGCTTGTCCCGAAAAACAACAACAATACATTAAGGGCATAACAAGCAAGGTTCCAAAATATGTATATCATAATTAATGACAAATGTTAGCATATGATACGTTTACATATAGCGTATGTATAATGCTATAATTAATTGTGATGTAACGTTTCAAAAAAAAAATAATGCAACTATAGGATTCATTCCGTTATAGAACCCTTCACGAGCAAAATTTTGGAATTGGCTATATTGGCTTCTTGGCATTTTATATTATACTATATTATAATATGTATATTGTTATTATTATATTATATTATATTAAAGGAAAAGGGCCACCTTCGTGAAATATGAAGATATCGTTGTTTTTCATTTTGACATTATTATTTTTCATTTTCTTTTTAAAACTGGTGCCAGAAGTGCACAATTCGCGAAAAAGTATTTAAAACTATTTAACATATTGGTACTATGTTGATACTCTCTACGGCACCTACTGTATGATGGCATAGCGATGACGTCACACTCAAGCCAATCAGCGTTCAGAAGACAGACTCGTCGGATTGTGTCAGATAAGCTGATTGGTTAAAGCTGAGCTGGTTGGAGCTGATTGGTAAAAAGCCAAAGCCTCGCCGCGGGTGGCTGTATTGTCGGATAAGAACGCATTCCTGGGATAAGGACGCATTCCTGGCGTATTTTCTTTTAAAATTGCCGATAACTGCGAATGGAGGCCGAAATCGGCCGTAAGGAGGTAGACAGATAGGTTTTCGGACACGGGCTACAAGATGGCTATCTCAGTTTCAATCCCCATGTTAAAGGTGGCCCTTTTCCTTTAATATATTATATTGACATGGCATATTATATATAAATTGGCTATATTGGCTTTCTGAATGACAATAGGGGAGAGCGGGGCCAGTTGAAACACGGGGTCAGATGAAACATGGTTTTATTTTCAACAGTATGCAACATAGGGCGTTGCCGACACCATTGCGCATCCGCGCTCGACCACTTCCTTTGTCAACGGCGTTTGGGCGGCAAACGGACGGAAGAGTTACGAACGGAAGAGTTACGAACTGAGGAGACTGATCACTTTCTTACCGTTTTAGGCTGATGAGCAGTTTATCGCGGCTTCCTTCACGGTCAAATACCGACAAGAGGCGCATTGCAAATACATTCTTGCAGCCCTTAGGGCAAGCATGAATAACGTACGCCATGCGGCTGGGTGTGTTGGCAGGAAGCACCGCGTACCAACCCCTACGGTACGCGACTGACCGGTCTCGGGTCAGGTAGCGCCTCAGGCAACGGCCAGCCGAGGCGGAGCTTAGCTCCAACGTCACACTATGGCTCCGCCCCTTGTGGAGTAGCCTCTGCTCACCGAGAGTTTCAGGAGCAAAATTTAACATTACGAGTGAACGGGAAGTGCCCTAAATATTGATCGGACATTGAAAAACCTTAGTAATAAAAATTAGGCCGGGGTCTGAAACGTCCATTGCCGAAGTTTCGTTCTTGAGAGGCAACGCATTCAAAAGTTATTGCGAAAAAGTCGCGTCCCACGCGGTTTGACGTTCACAGTAGTTGCTTGTAATTCAGTGTTTGGGAGTGTTTATAATGGCTTTCGTCCAAAAGAGGCGCCTTTCAATTTTCTCCCACTGACTCAACGGGGAGGTCGCAAAATTGAGCCAGGGGCCCGGGAGCGATTTTCAAGTTGGGGGGGGGGGCAAGCCTAAAATACCTAACATGATGCATAT